TTCATGTTTACTGAATATATCTTTTATCATTTTGTTTTTATTAAATTGAGATTTTATTGAAATAAATTGATGTGAATTTGTATTGGCTTTGTCACAGTAAAACAAAACATTCAAAGGCTGTCATATCCATACAATTTGAAAACAATATCTTACAGTTAAATCGGAATAAACAAATGAATAACACGGCGATTTCAGTGGAGCGATTTAATTAATACATAGCTCGGTCCAAGGTGAACATTTGACGACTGTCAGATATCTAAGGGGTGTTGCCATGGAAACCTCTCAGCCACCTTCATTTTTGCCCAACTCCCCCCTTGGCTGCTTTGCACCGTTTCTTTGACAAAACGAAGCAATTTACGCGATCGCATGGATTGTTAAATATAAAAGTTATCAACGCGTTTACGTTTAGTTATATTTGATTTTCTTTTAAGATCTCCCGAGAGAGCTGCAATTATTTAGCAAGATTGATATTTTGACAACATTAAGTTTTTTTTAAAATAGAATACCGGATTTTACATATCTATATTACTTAAATGTATGTTGGATATTAATAATATATAAAATTGTAAGTTTGCACATGTCAAAAACTTGTGTATGTATTGTACATACACAAGTTTTTGTTAAAAATGTGGATAAACTTTACTTTCCAAAACGAAAAAAGTAACGTAAAAATATTACAATCCTGAGTCAGTCTGGTAAAAATATTCAGTATGAAAATACTTTGAAAATTGATACGTTATCAACGATATTGGGTACAATATAGAGTGTAACAAAATGGAGCTGTGATGGGTTGTGTCCTATTGTATCGTATTATCGTGGTCCGGTGGAAAACGAAAGGTGCGGGAGACCGCAAAGGGACGTCGGTGGACCCTGTATAAAGTAACATCTCATTGTATTACAAATGTTGCTTACTATGTTGTCTATGAATCCAATGATTTATATTAGATATTTTATTATAACGATGAGCTTTATGTTATTACTAGTTGAAGCCTAAGACTTCGTCTGCGGGAAACAAAAAGAAAAACTCAGTAAGTAGCCTATGTGTTCTTAGAGAGTATGTTCTACGTCTATGCCAAATTTAGTCGAGATCTGTTGAGTCGTTCTGGAGATAACTTCTAACAAACATCCATCTTAACTTTCACAGTAATAATATAAGTAATTAGTAATGGTAAGAAGTAAAATTATTGTTTTAAGCATATTATTACTTGTCACCTACGGTTTATGGTTTTTCGTCGTATGTTTTTATTTTCGAGAGTGTAATGTCATGTTTTATTAAATAAATATATAACTCGATGAAACTGGATGAGAGCACAGCAAAGTACTTCATTATCAAACATTTGATGCATTATAAAATTAAGAACAAAATTGTTGATATTTATTTTTATTATCGCACCGCTGTGGACATGAGAATTCAATTAGAGCGCACCGACGAGCACGACCGACGTACCGCGGTAATTATTCTAAAATGTGCTTTAATACTTTAATAACAAAGTTGAAAATTTATCCGCAATGTAACAATTCATTACGCTTCTCGTGTTTCGCATATATTGTAATATAAGTTTTATTGCTTAGACATAAAGTTGAAAATCTACAAATACGGACAGTTTAAAATAGATTCTGGATTAGATGTCTGCTTTTATTAGAAGCATGCTAGTGCCTCGGATAACGTTGGCCGCTCACATGAAAATTTCGGACGATTAACGTAAATCGCTCAACAGGGAATTAGGCTGTGTGCACACTAGAGCGGACCGGTGTATCGCATTCGTTCATTAGCGTTTGAGATAATCGCGTTACAGCGCATTTGCCAAAATTTTACAAGCAATGTATAATTGCACCCTATTCTAGAACTTGCCTTACTTTATTCAATATTAAAACTGTAGGACGTTCCCGTTATTGGCGTAGTATTTTAAAGGACGGACTTAAAGTTATTATTAATGGAGACCAACAGTAGTTGTATAAAGGTTGCTACACATTGCGTGCGGCGTTACAGGAACAAAAGAATGAACCCATGCCGCGCGGATATCCGATGAAGGAAAGAGGATGAAGTAAAAACATACAATACAGCGGCTTATGATTTATTTTTTTGCATGTTTTTATATTTCTTATCAAATGATTAAGTAAATATTTCGAAGTAAAAATATCTTACTAATATTGTAAATGGGAATGTTTGGATGTATGCATATTTGTTTGTTTTAAGGTATCTCCAGAACTTCACGGGTCTCGCTGAAATTGTCATAAATATAGAACATAGACTGAAAGAGCACATACTGATTAATTTTTTTTTTAATAAACTTAACAAGCTGTATCTATGAATAACACGTTTGCGACTACATCTATTTCTACAGGGTGTTGGACCGTGGCAATGATTGTACCGCACGTGCAACACCGAGGTCCAATGTGATTCAATTACATTGGATGACGTCATATTGTAGTCATCATTATTGTGAGTCACGCACAATTCTTTTTTTTCGGGTGTCATCCCTATTTTTCTTTTTTGTCTATTCGAATAATCGGTATATAAATATATTACGTCATGTATAGAGAGAGGGATCTTTTTTTGAAAATAGTTTATTACGATTTGTAGGACATATTCAAGGTAAAAATTTGTGTAACTTTTATTTAGTTTTAAACTGAAGGAAATTAACATAAATTACATACCTAAGTAAAAATTTAATAACATCGCTGGAAATCAGAATTAATACATTTGAATTTTTTTTTTGCATTTAGAACTAATATTTCGTACGTCTCAAATGATATCTCGTTCCTTGCAATAAGGCTTCCTGATCTCCAGCTAAAAGGTAATATCGTCAAAGGTACTCATAATCATATTATTTTATGTACGTCGTTAAAGGATAAGGCAGCGACGTAATGAGATATCATTTTGTTCATTTATTTTAATGATACTAATTTATTTTATATTTTTCATTTCTTTCTATTAAATTCTTTTCTTCATTTATCTAATACATATTTATTAAATTTCTTTTACCTTTCTATTCCTTACTTTTTATTGAACGTCGCTAGCTTAGTGGTTAAGCACTTGACTTGTAAACTGCAGATCAGATGTTTTTTTTCGATTTACATATGTATATAAGTATGTATGTATATATATATATTTATCCGAAGTTCTTACGGTGAAGGAAAACATCGTGATACAACCTGCACATCTGCGGAGAAATTCAAAGATATGTGCAAAGTCAACCCCCACATGACTAGCATGGATGACTATAGCCTAGTCACTCGTAACTTAGGCTAAGCTCCGAACACCTCAGTGGGTACGTATAGTAAGCTAATGATGATGATAACTTTATCACCTTTTCGAAATCTTCTGCACAAAATCTGGGAATACATTTATAACTTATGAATGACATAAAAATAGTAACAAAAATATTTGGTCTTTTTTATGACGGGCAATTAATTTTCTTGATGTAAAATATCTCTCTATACTCATCAATGTAAACAACATTGAGAGACATTTTAATTAACCCTTTCGCGTTGTAAAATTGGCCTTAGTAATCGAATACGACCACTCGGCAGTTCGTTTATTTCAAGGGAGAGCCGACGTCTCTTACTGTCATGTGGGGATTGCTTTAGTTCGTCGTGTGCAATCTTCTTGACGTTTTTACAATTGCATACGACCACTTTATTCAATTCCGTAGACGTAGTGTTCTGATAAACGATGAATATTTGATTTAGTTTGAATTTGTCGCAGTGCAGTAGTTTATTCTTTATAAAAACATATTTTTATTAAGATTGTGTAATTCAAAACGTGTGTAGTTATATTTTATCTTTCATAAAAATAAGCTTTAAGAAATTGATTAATAACAGTTTTCCACATTCTACTTATTTAATAACGAATGTAATAACTTTTTGAAAACCATAAATTAGAGCTGTGTAAAAGATATCCAATTAAGTAAAATTAGTCGTGACTAAAATTGTAAAGTTTAATATTAGCAAAGTTATTCGTGAGGCAGCCGTGGCCGCGACGCTTGATCCGTTGCCAAAAGCCGTCGGCCGCGCAAGATATAGCAATAAAGCCTGTTGTCCACTTGTGCGTTAATATCGCCTCGACTGGCTTCGCCGCGGCGGATTAGTTGCCGTCTCGCCACATTATTGCTCTATAGTAAACAAAACGGGCGCTGGCATTATCCTCTCGCTTTTGTTTAGTTCGCTCGATATCTTTGAAGACCACTGCCAAGGCTTGAATAAACATTTTAATGGGAATGAATAAAATATAACGCTTAATATAGTATTATAGTTAAATTTTATATTTTGTAGCATCTATAAGAAATCATTTACAGTCTCATTAAGTATCACAGGGTTTCAGCCATAATCAATACATAAAGGCGGAATCAATATCCGTTATCTGTAAAATGTGACCGCGGCTACATTGAATTCCCCGGGACATAAAGCAACGTTTACCTCCATCCGAATCTGTCTATCCCTTTCTTTCACTTAATCCACTAGAGGCTGTCCCATTTTATCCGCCGTATATCACGTTCATAAGAGCGAACTAAGCTCCTAAAACGAGTGTTTATTGCTGGTCCTTTGAGTCGGACTCTAGTGAATTTCTGAGAAAGAACACGCCAGTAAATTGGCCCTTTTGTTTTCCTGCTAAGAGCGGTCATATATTCAGTCGAGGAGTGGTCCAGGTGCGTGGCTAATGGTCTTATCTCGGCTTCTCCACGAGTGTGTTTCAAACAAAGGTAAGCTTTAGGATTTATCACATTTGTAGCGGTGCGATGCTCAATTTTTCATTGGAATGTTTCCTGCGCGGATTGTATAAGGTATGGTTTTATAAGTATACCTTATATATATTATTTTATATTATATAAAGAATTAAGAGGTCCTGTAGCTGTAATAAATAGACGTGAAATTATAATACCAGATCGTCAATAGTTTTAGTAGCAATTCAAATCAAATTTTTGTGCGTTAAATTTAAAACACTTTATTGATCAAACGTTGAAGTTATTCAATATAACGCATGCTTTTGTTTTATTTAGTATCGGAGCAAGGGCCGCACGAAAAGCGATTGCTGAATGCACTGCTAGCCTCCTACAACACCTTGGAGCGGCCTGTTGCCAACGAGAGCGAGCCTCTCGAGGTACGCTTCGGCCTCACGCTGCAGCAGATCATTGACGTGGTAAGATATCAATTATTACTACTACCGATATCTCATCCTACTATATCTTTGAATTAAACTGTGACAATTTTATGTGAGTTCTATCATAGAAATAATTGTGTTCTATACATGTTTTGTTTTAAAGAAGAAAGATTACTACGAAGTAGGTAAATGTTTATGTATTTGCTACTTACATATGTAATCGTCTACGTATTTAGAATATGCATAAAGGAAATATATATTTGTAAAACTTGGTATTTTGTTATGTAAGAATATTTTATGTTTTTTTTTAGAAATTAAAAATTATGATATAGGACATTATGACGGCTAAGACGTTAGCTCTTCATTTATTTAATTATTTTTTTTAACTACATTTAAATTGTGTTAAAAAGACGTAAGATACAAGTTTTTAAAGTTATAAATACAAGAACACTTTACTACGCACACATCACGATTCAATTTTATTTCAATGTCTTGACTACAAGTAAAATTATTTTATCCAAAGACATTTCTTCAGTCTATATCAATTTCTACATTCTGTAAGTGCAATCTTAAAAGATAAAAAGAGAAATATTCATAGAGCGAAGTGCAGAACTTAGGAACTCTTTTCTTTTGTTTCGATTTATCAAAGAATTAAATTTCCTTTCATATCAATGGTTAAAAATACACATAATTGATTACGTAAAAAATATCAAACTGTTGTCAAAAAAACTACAATTTTGTCTATGGTGAACAAAAAGATGAAACTATAATATTTTTCGAGTGCAACTCGATGCAATAATTTTAAATGATGAATTAGAAGGACTCCAATATTCTATCAGGCAATCGTTTTAAAAATAAATATTGCTATTTTTTTGTAACAGTTAAATAATTTAAATTTGTACGATTTACAGGTAATAAATATAACTTCAAATACTCATCCAAATTAATCGTAATTTCCACTTTAGGTAAAAGCGGACTATTGAGTTGGTGTTTCCGATTAGTGCTATTGTTAATATTCTATCGTATTTGTTAGGTTGAATGTACATAAGGATATTGTAAAATTTATTAACCGACCCAAAACCGCCCTGGGTACAATTGTGATAACAAATTACGTTGCCTTCAAGTTATAATTTTCAAAGATAATGTTACCCTGGACAGTTTAGTTTATTCAATATCAAATACAAAATGTTATTGCATTATCTAACATTTATCTATTGTATATCTTACATCTTATTAATATCATAAATGCGAATGTTTAGATGGATGGATGTTTGCTTGAAGGTATCTCCAGAACGGCTGAACGGATCTGGATAACATTTGGCATACATATAGAAAATTGTCTGGAAGAACACATAGGCTACTAATTATGTATTTATTTAATTCCACGTGAAAGGAGTCGCGGGCGACAGCTAGTATTTTTATAAAAAACTAATCAAATAAAGTATCGTTAGCCAAATTAATCATCCTGTATTCAGTAGAGAATGTTATCCTACCAAAAATAAGTATTTAGATTAGAGGGCGTTAGTTGCTAAGAAATGTTTCTATATTAGTGTTAGGTTTATACGATATCAAATCTCCACTTCCACTACAAATAAGTGGAATTACAATGGCTTTAGTTCTATCGTAATAAAACTTGCCAAGTGCCCAAAGTTTATTGTAGTTTATTTTGTATAGAGATTAACGATCGTAAGATCTCTTCCTGTTTCCTTAACATAGCAACTTGATAGAAGTACTCAGTTTAGTGTTACAAATGTTTTACTGAGGAAACATCACTTAATACCAACTTTCGTTCGCTTTAGTAATCTGAACACACTTATACTGCAATGAAGATGTTTTACATAGAAATGTTATTAACAGAAAGGAACAACTTTGAAATAATTATTTTATAACGAATGCAATTTGTAATGAAATTAATTTTGTTTGGAGCTTTGAAAATCAATTTAAACTTTATATTCCTATAGATTTTATTACAGCAATATTCTATTTTACATTAGTTAATTTATCATCATCTAAAATATATAATCTAATCTTTGTATATAATATTGTTCAAAAAACAATATATATACAGGGTATATAAAGGGTTTCATTAACACATTCGGCAGTAAATATTCACTCTAACAAATTGAAGTACACATTAAAAAATATTGCATAAAAATAAAATATTTGTTTAATCTATGCAAAACATAAAGCGAATACAAGTAGATGTAATTTATCATTGACTAGAAATGAAAGAAATTTTAGTTTGAAAAAAAAAGTCAAAAGAGAAAGGCGTTGAAATTGAACTAGCTTTCTAAGAATCGAGTTAACGAAGCGCTCTTGTAGCTCTGATCTACGGAACAAAACGGAAGTTATACGCGAACGGGATAAGGTTCCGTTGGAAAATGGAACAAAGTAACTCGACAGCGGTCGTGCCGCGGGCACAACGCTTTCAAAGCGCTCCCAGCTTTCGCATCTTTTAGCAATATTTTCAGTGTCATTGGCAACAAAGAAATATTTTAAATGTATTTTGTCACTGTAAATATATATTTTTAAAATATAAATTATTTTGAACATCCAAAACACTGTTTTAAATTTACACTTTAAGCTCAAGATAGTTTTGAAGTTTGCGAGGCGATGTAATTTTATAGGTTTTAATGACTTTGTCCAATAAATCTTGATATAAGGATGAATTATAACCACGCCTTAGTAAAAACACTTTCAAATACAATCATGATGATAAATAATCGGTATACTCACGTTGGCGTTGTGTTGGCAACACTGCAATTTAAAAACAATTGCTCACAACGTGAATTGATACAGTCCCTTGATATCGTGTTGCCGACAAAATGGAAACTACGTCTGTTAGTCAAATGGAATGCTTTATCTTTTACCATATAGTCTCACGAAAGTTTGAATAATTTAATATGAAGTAATTGTTTTGAAATTATTTATTTATTTCTGTGATTTTACATACATTTCTAAATATTAATCAAACCTTTGCCAGTTAAATGTATCTAACGTCTTTTTAACTTAAATGTAGTGCAAATGAAATTGTCATATTTTATTTAACCAGCTGACGAGAAAGTTTAGTTGAATCGTATTATGGCTACAACATTTTCATCTCGATTATAGTTTTTATATGATTTCTTAAACTTAAACATGGTATTTGTTAACATATCAGATAAATATCGGACTATTAATATTAGATTTCAGTTTTGTGTTTTGTTAAATATATTTAATTAAGGTTAAAATTGTCGTTATTCAAATTATTGCAGTAGCGAGTTGTCTATTGAACTCCCTATTCTCTATGTTTAAGGGATTGTTAATTGTCGTCTCATCCGTAATGGTCAAGGTTATTATAATTAAAACGTTCTCTTGTCAGTACAAAATTACCTAAATATCTTTTAGTACTAACAAAACCAGTTCCATTAATTGTTTAAGTTTAAAATGTACAATGATATTTGTTTTATCACGTAAATATTGTATAGGTTCTAAGGCACAAATTAATTGAAGTTGGTTAGTAAAATTATAAATAATAGTTCAACTTAATTTATTAGAAATTTTAATACAAAGTTTCTACTTTAAAGAAAAAAAAATCAAATGGCGATGGAATTAATTAATCAATAGAGATTACATTGATTGTAAATTCATTGTATCTTTTTCATTTCTTTTGCCGCGTGTTGCATTTAACAAAATAAGGATGAGAAAAACCAAATCTTGACCACAAACGTCTGGCTTAACTTGGTAAGTGGTAGGAGCCGGGCCCGGCGCCTTCGCCGCCCCGCCCTTGCGACCCCCCACCGGTAAAACGACATTCGATTTTATCAAAATTTCTTTTTATACAAAATTTTCTGATTTCTATTCACGCTAAAAGCACAGTATGCACTGAATTATGTAAAAATTGCTTTTGCGTTTTTAAAGCACGGATCGAGGATATAATAGTGTTTGGGTGTAGGCAGGAGGCGGGCGCGGCTCGGGGCGCCTTCGCGGCACTCTGTCGCATGGAGTCGGTGTTACTCGTTACCTTGTTGTTACGTCGTTTCGCCTACCAGCATTAGAGGGTGCGCGGAGGGCGGCGCGCGAGGCGAGGCGGTGCGCATGCGGCCCTCGCGCGCCGCCCGCCGCCGCCCGACCTTTGTGTGCGGCGTGAGGTTCACAGCTGATTAGAACATTGTACTGACTGCGCCCTTTCTCTCTGTTTATGTTGACATCGTCTAACCAAATAGGACGAGAAGAATCAACTACTTATAACCAATATATGGCTGTCATTGGTAAGTGTGATTAAACAAAGCAAACTAAATTAACTCAATAAAATTTCTATCTTTTCTTTCATTTTTCTTTTTGATTTCTTCTTTTAGTTTCTTTGACTCGTTATTTTGATTCTTCTATGCGTTGACTCTGTCCTTAATTTCTTCTGCTATCTATCTATGAAAATTGCATTGCATTGTGGAGTATTCGGCAGATTTGATATGTCACTGTTGTCTTGACAGTTACTTAGAAGTTTTTTCTAACCTTGTAATGATGACCTCCAGCCATGCTGTAGACTAGTGTGTAGACCCTGTCATGCAACCCATCATACCAACTGTTCATAATTTAGTCAATCTTACCTCGTACATTCAGTAACAAGCATTTATATAAAACTATTAAAATAATTTGAAATTTTATTTTTTTAGTTCCTGCGGGTAAAGAACGAACTATGTAGAGTATGGTGAATAATTAAAAAAAAATCTTTAATTCTCTCCCCTAAAAAAAAATATATAATGACAGTAACAAACTTTATCCTCGTGAGAATACAGGAGAAATAAATTCTTTGTATTTTGTTATATTTCTGGGCGCTTATTTTTCGTTGATATTTTCCGCGATAAAACTGCCGTGTAAGCCGCAATGCATTAACAATATGTACTAATGGTTGACCTTAATATGTTCATAAAAAATACCATAAGACTAAAAACACAATATTGTCAGCATTTCTATGCTTATATAAACAAATTATAAATATATATATATATATGTAAAAAGATAAATGTCGGGTTATTTAGGTTCGCAGATTGTGTCAATTGAAAGTAACATATTGGTGTAAGATGTTTGTCGATTTATCAAAATTGGATTTTGCACATCTTATTTGATATGTTATAATAAATATTCACTGTATACTGATTGTGCACAAACCGAATATTTGCTGACGTTTTTTTTTTTATTTTATTTGGCTATAATATGACTGTAGTATTTTCATACTATGCATGGCCGTTGAATGGAATTATTATTAAAACGAAAATTAAAAAACAATTTTAAATTTTACACATTAATTTGATCATTTGACAGACAATTCGAATTTTGAATGCGTTTTTATTTTAAATTTTGATAAAAATAAAACACCCTTTATATGTTGAGTTAGAGTTATTTTTATTTGAAGTTATTAAAGTCAGTTTGATATTTTCTTAAAATAAAAATATAAATAATGCTTTAATAACATACTTTTACTGTTATCAATAATTATGTGCCAGAGTGTTTTTTAACTTGCATTTAAAAGTTCCAATTTCAAAAATTCATTTTTTTTACTAAACATTAGAGGTATGTTAGAAAGCTAAATAAATGATAATTTAGCATTTACCAATATGGCAGCTTAGTATATGAATAAAAGTTGTAGTTATTATGGTTATGTTTGAAGAAAAAAAAATCTTGGAAAGCGGTCAAAATAAACTTCCATTGATCCTTTAGAGATAAGAGTCCTAAGCTTTTGTAATGTGGTATTCGTGACCTCTTTAGTTAGAAAAATGCATGATTAATATCGTTGCATGTATACGTCAGTATTTTCTGTCTGTGTGTCTTTGTGTAAATTTTTATTATGACAAAATGCGTTAAAAAACATGGGATCACTAAGGAATGCATCGCACATAATTTTTCCGCGATCGTATGCATCTGTGTCATCATCCTACTGAGGTCTCATGTTATAGTGGGCAAGTAGTACATGCTATGGCTTTTGTTTGTTTTGCTATAAAACAGTATGTGGATTATCAGCTCTTCTATCGGTTTATTTGCTAATCAAATTTGTTGATGTTTGTCAATATTTTTAAAATATTAATTTACTATTAAATCATCAACAAATTAAAAAAAACACATTTTAGTTTTTAATCTGTGTATTCTTAGTTCTTATTTAGTTTATGTTTGGTTTACGTTTAACTGTTTCTTTCTATAGTTTATAGTTGATAAATTTCTTAATTAAGACAAGATTATTTTTGTTTTAGTTAAGAAATCACAAATAAGACAAGTCATAGTATCTATAAAATTCAAAAGCAAACTTGTACGTGCTGGACGGGCTGGGTATTCCAAAAAGTTTCTATGTTACCGTTGAGTGAAAAAGTAATCTATAAATTCCAGAACCAATTAATCTAATTCAATAGAAATGAAAGTAAAGCGTATAAATGCCACCGTTAGCTTCGACAATTCATAAAGTTAATACGCATAGTAAAACAAAGTGTCAATTATGGACAATGCTGCTTATTATTTTAATTGAAAAATGGAACATTTAGGGTTCTGTACATTGAAAGGAAAAAAAACGGAACCCTTATATGATCACTCTGCCGTCCTACTTAATAAAACTATGCAAAGAATAATATAAGCAAAATAACAGTTAACCAATTAATGATTATTCGATAGTTAATGATCGGTTTAACTAAAGATTTGCTGTTATTTGATAATATTTCTAGGCAGATTACAATTTGGCAAAGTTTACAATCGGTCGGTGACACAGCCCAGATATTGCCTTCAAGTTGGTTAAACAAACTTTTGTAATATGAGAGGGTACAAAGTTAGTAGGGTACCCTTAAGTCAGCTTTGTTACGTTGCTATCTAAATAGCAGCCTCAGTTATTGTCAGGCAGCTTTAAATCGTACACCCCGTTCGGTGCGTACAGTTCGGAAACAATTTTGAAACTTACCATTTCTCGTTTAAAGTTAGTTTTTGTTTGGCATCTCTTGTTCAATAGATATTCAATCATGTTCCAATTTGAACAACATTAGATGACTTTGTAAAAGATAAAAGGTAAAGCCAATTTTCAGACAACATTCAAATATAAATACTGTAAATAAATACTTTATTATTCATTATTTCGTCTGTATATTTTAATCAGCTTTTTACGTATATCAAATTATAAAAAAATATAAATTTTTACACGTATTATAAAGTTGTAAATTATTTTATATTTATCATTGCTTTAAGGCTTCAAAATTGTTTCTATAAGCTTAATTGTATATATTTTTCAATTATCGAGGGCCTGCGATATTGTGAACTCAATTCGAACTGATCTCCAATTACATATCCAATAAAGCATGGATACGTTCATACGGTGCTGACACAAGCATCTATAGATAAGCAATTTACAACGAATCGAGTTTACATTCGCTTTTTTAATTGCTTTTCAGACACAGATAATATAATGGACAATAACATATAATACTTTCGAAAAGACATTAAAGAAGTTATAAATCGCGTTCTACAGAATATTGTTTTTATATTATTCGTGTCTGTATGAAATATTATTAAATATATGAGTATGTTTAATATTGGATTAACACGTCAGGAATGGAATGACTACAACTTGAGATGGAATGACACCGAGTACGGAGGTGTCAAGGATCTGCGCATCACACCGAACAAGCTATGGAAACCTGACGTTTTGATGTACAATAGGTAAGACTTATCAAGTAAGGAGTTGGATTTAATTATATTTTTTTCAGAAATGACTATTCATGATGATAGATGGCGTTAAAATCGATGTATGTAACGCAAATAAAGTAACACAAAAATGAGTAGTTGAATAAGTATCGTTTGGAACTTAAGACAGTATTTTTTTAATTTAAATCTCATTGGTATCGTATTTAAAAATTTTATTTCAGGATTATATCTAATAGAGTTCCAAAAGCACAAAAGGTTGTTTTTTTGTTCAAAAATGAGTTATGTTTTTATATGTAGGAGCCGTAGAATTATGTTCATTCGACTGGTTCATGGTTTCATAAAATCATTGCTAAGAATATAAGTTTCGCCGTAAATAATAAAAAAAAATCTAAAAGTTTTCTTGTAGTAATCTAGAACACCTGTGCAACACGTATTTCAACTAACCTTAGCCTCCGAGATTTTCTATTCGACATTTTCCTCGATTCAAGAGCACATTTCTAAATTGGCAACCCTGTTTCAACAGGATAAACACGTGGCGTACAAAACACGCCACAAACAAGCCTATTTTATTATCCGAAGCTTTAAGCCGAGGTTAAAGAACAAAACTGAAGTTTTATGTGCGATTTCAAAACTAAATGAACAGAATGAATGCAAAGGATTAAACGAGTAGTGGTGGATGTGTTTTATAAAAAAAACTTTAAATTGGTCATATGTTGGTATTTTGCAGTGGCCTCACACGTTGGTGTATTCAGCAAAAATGTTTATTATGCTAAGCCACAGTTGAAACTATAGTAGTTGCTTCATTTTGTAAATGTTTTCCCTCGTGTAAAATGTTTTTTATACGAAGAGCAGTTAGATAAAGCAAACAAAACGATTTGATTTGCTTATCTTATGTATTATTTATTTCATTTATTAACTCTTGATGCTATTATAAGAGATAAATAAATTACTTATCTTAGTTTATATGTTTGATTTACAATAAGGACGCAACGTATATACCACAATTTAAATCATTTAATTAATATGAAATAAAAAGAAACAATCCATTTGTACTTTTATATAGCATTTGAAGTAGAGCTGAGTTTATTACTCGGCAAATATTGAGCAAATGGGCTGCACAGTTTACGCGCTGATTATATCGAGTTTATCGCGGCAATTTATTCGCGACAGTCAGTTTTATTGTGCCCCCCAATGCCACCAGTGCCCCTCGTGCCCCCAGTAATGTATCGCAAACTCATTTGCTGATAGCGTAGCTATGAAAACTTTCTTGCTTCAAGCTTAACGATCTCATTAAAACGTTATAGTAAAGTAATCGAATAATTTTATAGGCTTAAGCCATTGTAGCCCGTTATTGAGTAATCGTTCAAACTAGCGAGTCGGTGATATGATAACAAATATACCTTTAAGTATTATTGAAATTGTATAAATTAAACAGTGGTAGAGCCGACAATAACATGATTGCAATGGTCCGGCTCGATCGGTAAAATACCACTAACACACAAAAGATAGGCATGAAGTAGAAGTTATTATGCGTTCCTCTATCTATGCTCATCTGATTGAAAGTATGAAACACATCTAAAAATGTATATGGGTAACAGTTACGTCAATGTTACGGCGAATTTATGTTGCGTTTGTTTGTTTGCCACCTTTTACTTAAAAAAAAGAAATTAATAGAGGGGGGGGGGACAAGATTTGCTAGAATAATTTCAAATGATAGTTCCTAGTAATATTTGATGACATATATAATTACCTAAATTCATTACAATTACCAATATTTTGACAACCGTTATCATCATGTTTGCATTATATAAACTGCATCAAAGGTTAAGGAGGTTGATAAGGGTTGTTGACATAATCACGATGTGGTAGGAGCATAAAGTGTTTATCGAAGCGTACCTGGCCGCCTGCCAGATTTACTGTGTCCTAGACGTCCTAAATGTGGGTGCAAAGTTACTATGTTTCAGTTGCAAGCTTCATTTAGCTCGAGTCATCGTGATACGTCGAATATTTTCTTCACCGTATTAGTTATAACCATCGTAGTGATTGGATAATCTCAATTTATTCTTGGTATTATGAAAATAATTCTAATACAAAAACCGACTTGTCAACATTAAACAAGACAATGGAAATAATGCAACAATAATTATACAGATGCGGTACAGAATCCAAATTAAAGTTAGTAATTTCTATACATCTGATTTTCATGACTTTTTTATGAAAACTTATTTAGTTACTAGGTTCAATATATTTATCATTCTGGTTGTGTTAGCATTTTATGTTCTTCGGTCGAGAACTTGCCAATGTGTTAAATAATTCAACAAGGAAAGATTGATGTCTTCTGTAACATCGAATGTTTTAACCTCACGTGAGATGGATTTTTAGTAGTTTTCTGAACAATGAAAACTTTATGGTCATGAATGGAGTTTAATAATAACCCCCCCCCCTCGAAAATATATAGCTTTTACTCAGATTAAAGGAGAAAAATAAAAATAGTGTTGGCAATGGAAACACCCAGTTATGTTAATTGAAGGTGTTGATAATTTACATAACTTATTAATTTCAAATACTTAAATGTTACTATTTCCGGAATATTAGTTATTCCTGACTGACAGCGAGTAATGTTGCCTAAAGCGTGACGCCTCATCGCCGAAGCCGACGACGCGACGCTGACGAATTTAATTAGCTCCAGTCCATTAGCGCTGCGAGCTGTCAACAAGTCACTGTTTGATACACCTACGTATTACTACAACTGTAGATGATAGTCAATTTAAACGTAATATAAACGATTCATATCAGAAATTATGAAATTGACTGCTTAAAGATATTCGACGTTGAATTGTGATAAATTAAATTATGTAAACTGAATTGTTCGCTTTATAGAGTTGACGGCAATCAACTTTATTATATAGCTGGTCGACTAGAAGCACCTTAAGTGGATTTGCAAAATAAAACTAAAATTGTGTGAATGGAATAGCGAAAACCTATATTAAGATGTTACTAGTAAATCTTAATATGGCTACTAAGAAGAGAAATAGTTGATACCGTTGGGTAATTTTACCATAGTCTTTATAAACATACTCTAGATTTCCTATGATTTTGTGGTGTAGAAAATGTAAAGCACAAACACACAAAGGAACAACATATCGTATTGAAAAAAATATTATAAAGAACCGAGAGATCGCGGGAACATTTTCAATTTAAATAATACCATTTTATTACCGAGATCATATTTTAAGTGGCGGGCAATAACATAGCGCCTGAGCGGCCGCTGGACGCGAGCCAATTTTCCCGCTATCTTTTAAGAACACGAAAAGTGAATTATCGCTGATTTGTGAACGTGTTGTGTAAAGTTGGAGACGTGAAATAAGGCCTTGTTTGTGCTCCGCAACGTTTGGCTTGCACGTAGGTATAATAGTCACAAACATAACGTCATGTTCAAATGGAACTATGCACATTTTTTTCTTAATCAAACACCAAAAGTACCAAAGTTATTAGATCCTCTACTTCTAGTTTTATGCACTTGAAAATCATCGATATCAATTTCGAATCGATATAAGTTCAAATTCGAAAAAAATTAAAGTTCCCAAACAATCATGAAGAGGAGGGAATTAGAAACCTATTTATAAGATTAAGCAATATCTACAAAGCAACAATTAAGTCAGTTGGACTCAAAGACGAGGCAAAATCTGTGATAACACTAATGTCAATTTAAATACGGGTACTTTAGTATCATCAAGATATAGTAAATGACAAGAGCTCTTTATATCTATTAATGAAGTTCGGCGATAACGTCAACTTGTGGCCCTCTAAGAACTCTTAGCGGTTTACAAGGATAATATTAACAGAGTTGTAATATTAATTGAATTTTAATGTATGTTTTTAACAATTTGGTTTATATTAAGTATTATTTATAAGTATTTTAACTCTACTAGTTTAGTAAGTTTACATTCTTGTGAATCATGGCAACGTACTTTGCAGAATATTATTTTGTTCACGTAACTACTATTTATTTAAGTGCCAAAGAATCTTTATTTATCATAAAAAAATCAATTCTATTGTGTTGTCAAATTTCAATTGTAAAATATGGAAAGTGCAATACAATTTAACAAAGGGAACACAACAATATTGATTATTAATAAAATTTGTCACATCGCGACCATATTTTTCAGTTCGGTGTAACACATGGCCGGTCGTAATGCGGGTTTGTTGGCGACCAGCCAGCAGTACACGTATTCCATTCATGAATACAACATATACGAGAAAGTACGGACACTTCTTGCTGTGAATTTGCGGCGATTTCTTTTCGCCCCTTTTCAATTGTTAATGTCCGGACATTGTCAAACACTGTTTTACGCGTTCGGGATTTCCTTTTGTGTTAAATAATTTGTTTTTAAATTCCCTGTGGTTCGGATTACTAATAAAGTTTTGTTGTTTGGTCTGGAATACTTCGTGCTCCTTGGTGGCCAATCAGTTGATGTAAATTGTTGGAACTAGTTTTAATGAAGATTTCTTGTACCGAAATTGAACGAGTAATAAATATTTATCGAAAATTTTGGCGCAACAGTAATTTAGACGTATGCCAAGATGGATGTGAGGTGTGACTAGGAAGGATAAAGTTAAAAATGTGTATGTTAGAGCAAGTTCGAAAGCAGCGCCAGTGATCGAGAAATTGAGGAGTAAAAGATTAGCGTGGTTTGGACATGTTATGCGGAGGGATGATGATGATATAAGCAAAAAAGTATTGAGATTGAATGTGCTACAAGGGTAGGGGAAGACCAAAAAAGTATGGAATGACTGTGTGAAAAAGGATATGCGTAAGAAGCGGGTAGACTCGAATATGACGGCTGATAGAGATGTATGGAGGAGTAGTACATACTGTACCGACCCTCGATAGGGATAAGGGCAGGTTGATTACGATGATGATGAGTAATTTAGACATTTACTGGCTGAGTCACTTTATACAGCAGGAGTGCTATATTAAAAGCAATTTTAGGCACTTGTTTTCTAATAATACAATTATCGAAAGTAATATTTTTTTAAGATTCTTTAATAGCCAAGAACGTTGTATCCTCATTTTAAATCGATTAATTATCCCCAACTTCAAATAAAAATATCTTAGAAGAAATCTCAACGGTAATTCTACTATGTGATAAATACTATTTCAGGTATTAAAGGCGATAGAAATCTTTAACTTACTATAAAGGGAGTTTAAGGACTATTAAATCTTGCGACCTGTGCACAATGCAATCTGGATTCCAGCTCTCCCTAGACGGAGTTCTCCGACAAAATACCAACTAAATGTGTTGTAAATGTTCTTGTATTTTCAGTTTACAGACCACAAAGGGCGCTGTCGACGAAGAATTTCAAGCACGACTTTTTGTACCAACTATTTACAACCGCAAACATTTGCTGTGTTTTCAGTGTTTGTTTTGACATGTCTAGATTTAAGGCGATGTTATTAGTTAAAAGTTTACTTTTTAAACTTGAATAATAAATTTAAAAAAATAATTTCTAATTAAACATAAAACATTTTAATATAATACATTTTGTTTTAGTTTTAGATTTAAAAGCACTTGCTTTATTTTTAATGCTTGCTTATTTTTATTTGATTTAAAAATTTATAATTACAAAATACTAAATATAATTTTATTTTTTCAATGTGACAACACAGTAGGTGAGAATTGCCTGTATAATATCCTACTTGTGTTGCCATATAATAATACCAAGAGATAAACCTACATGGTACGCTTGCCGCTGATTTGAATTACCACAAGCATCGTTTCGCTTTTCAGATGTCTATGTTTGAAAATAAAAATAAATTATTGTTTTTTTTTAATTAAAAGAAGAACAATATTATCACATCTGTAAAAGCGAAGGGATGATATATTTAGTTATCGATGGTAAATAATTTTTTTTTATATTTTTGAAGGTAATATTTACCATTGATTTTACAGTATAAACCGTCCCTGATAAAACCTGAACAGTACTAAAATGTAATTAAAAAAAATTAAGTGCTTCAGATTTTTTTTCTGCTTAAATCAATTAATAAAAACTCTTAATATTTATAAAAATAAACTATTAATTTCTTGTTAAAAGCAAAATATCTTTTTTTCCTCATACTCTTCATAAAATAAATATAATATTAAATATATCATGAATCTATCATCTATTGCTTTAATTGTTAAATTAATTTAAATTAAAAAGATTACGAGACGACTTTGACTGAATTAAAATTCCTCATTGATTAAAGAATGCTTTCAGAGTTTTATTTACCAATTTTATGGGACTTTGTGCGGATTCGTTTTATTCATTCGTTGGGCGGGCGCTAATTCTTTTAGAACACTTTAAGCCTTAAGCTTACTGGAGAAATTTTAATTAAATTCAACAAATAAAATCCGATAAACAATACATCGATTGTTGAAAACAACAAAGTGAAATGTACCATAATTAAACAATTACTTTCATATTGACTTAATATTTCATAACTATTCAGTGTCTTTAAGTTGGAAATACTTAAAAGGCTGTCTGAGTAAAACTTAAACAGAGTACATTTAATTAACAGATTAATAATTCAGAACGCTACCAAGTTGTAATTAATTATAACAATTATGTATATTTTAAATAATAACGAGTCATATTATCTGCCTTGTATTGTAATATGCTCGATGAGAGTTTTCTTATTGGTATAGTGCTGACGAGGGTTTTGACGGGACATACCAGACGAACGTGGTGGTCAGAAGCAACGGCAGTTGCCTGTACGTGCCTCCGGGCATTTTCAAGAGCACATGCAAGATAGACATCACTTGGTTCCCCTTCGACGACCAGCATTGTGACATGAAGTTCGGTAGTTGGACCTATGACGGCAATCAGGTATAGCCTCTTGGTCAGATACCACACTATCTCTATATTCAACTAACTGCTTCACTCAGAGTAACTAACAGAGACCCTTAGTTTAGATCTATTGATACATTTTTGATTTCTAAGCTAACTTGCGCGCGCATAAGGGACAGACTATGTTTGGAAGTAAATCTCCAAGACGCTTTATAAATACAAAATTAATAACCGAATTAAATTACAAGATGATAAATTTCAAATGTAATTTATGAATTAAATCCTCATTCTCTTTAGCAACAATTTTAATTAAATTTCCATAACTCCGCAAATCTGACAGCCATCTGGCGTTTCATTAAATACTTGAACTTAAGAGATTTCATAATATTCAAAATAAAAAGTTTCCTGAGCAAATATTTTTGTTACTGTTTCTACTTTAGTAGCAATGGTTTTCGAGTATTCTTTTTTACTGATATGCGTATTTATGAATTTAAACTTTCAAATATATAACGATATAAAAAGTCATTAAGTTTGGTCGCCCACAGTAACTTTTGTAGCGACGCATACGCTTCGCGTGTACAACAATTTATCGATATAAACACAACATTACTTCATATATCTCTCAATTATTGTCATAAAAACAATTTGTAGAGTCAAGCATAGCATTTTATAATAAGATGTTGTACTGACTCGAGTAAAATTATGTTACATAGATGTATCGCGTTCGTTTTGTATAGCGTCTGTTTCGCTCTGGAAGTCGCCGTGGACGACCGCCTTAATGAAAAGTTAGGGATAAGGGAACCATGTGAGAAACCTGAAGGATACAAGTATCCTTAAAGTTTTGTATGTACTATTTTGCATGGTGCAACAACATTCTATCTATATTTTAGCACTATTTACTGATGTATATCACATTATGTTGACTGCCATACGGATTTGCATCAAAATTTCATAATCTAACTTAAAATATTCTTAATAAATAAATATATAGGCTTTATATTATGTAAAGCCTATGCGAACGTAGAAAAATATTTTTATTACTGCTTATGAAATTGAATCGAATATTAACTTTGTATAATTATAATATTTCGTAAAGGCTTTACGCGTATTTTCTTTTTTTAGCTGCTGTTTAATTGATTGTTTTCGTTTCATTAATAAAATTAATAAGTGACGTGTGTACGTGTTTCATATCAAAATGTTTTAGCGACTAATAATATGAATGTATACCTAATTATTAGATTAAAAAACATATATTGTATGGAAGAAAATTTTAAAATTCCTAGATAATATTTTAAGAGCTGACACCAAAGTAAGTATTCGCATGATTTTATAAAATATTACTTAATAAAAATTTATTTGCATTATTTTTTTATTACGTTGTTGTAAAATCTTGTTATCATTAGGAAATAAAAAATATACCTACAAGTCCGTATAGATTATGATAATTTGATTCTAGCGTATTTTCCGTATGGTGTCAAAAAAATATTGGTCTCAAATTGTGCATGCCATCTTCATATAGGAAATACTCGAATTAAAATAAACTGCACAATTTTATATGTTTCTCACATTTTCCCAACGCTTATCCTAATAACCCTACCAAAGTATTTGACGCATGATGTTTTTATTTTGTTAATATTTAATATCAAATTTGGTTGCATCAAAACCTTTATTATTTGATTTATTTTATTTCAATACTAATTGTGTTTAACAGTTGGACCTGGTGCTTAAAGATGAATCTGGTGGTGACTTATCAGATTTTATAACGAATGGAGAATGGTATTTAATAGGCAAGTATATTCTGGAATTATTTCCTTCAATAGTATGATTACTAAGACTTTAATAGTGATATGCATTGTTATTAATACATTGTTATTCTAAAATAATTGTGCAGGGATGCCTGGAAAGAAGAATACAATAACATACGCGTGTTGTCCAGAACCCTACGTTGATGTCACCTTCACAATAATGATACGACGGAGAACTTTGTACTATTTCTTCAACTTAATAGTTCCGTGCGTACTCATTTCATCAATGGCGCTTCTCGGCTTCACTCTACCACCGGATTCAGGAGAGAAACTAACACTCGGTCAGTTGTTTTTACTTATATCTACTATCGTGTTACCTTCATCTGTATCTTTATGTACATTGATACTTCAATATTCAATATATATTCATAGATTATTTCTGATTTATTATAGATATTTTATTCTAATTGTAAATTAAACAATGTGTTAGCATCTAAAGTAGCATAGTCTCTCTCAGGGATGCTTTCTAACTAATGAATATTTACGTAAAATTTGAAATAATTTTGATTCACCGTACACTCGGTATCAATTTTACAATATGAATAGCGTTAGCTTTCGATATTTTCATGCTAAATCGAAGCTATTTCTCCTGGAAGTCACTCTTTAATGGAAATGTGCTTTAGAATTTCAAATGCAGTATCTGACGTTCGCATAAATAAAACTACGGCTTGAGTTATGCGATCAGGAAAGTAAGAGGTAGATTTTTTTTGGGAAGAAGATTTCTTTTTAAAAAATATAAGGTTGTTGTCACGAAATGTCATCTGACGGTGGTCGAGCATGAAGGTATTCGTCTACCGTAGGCGTCACGGACCACTGTCCTATCATCATGAAGTTACTCTGATAAATTGTAGTTTATTTAATAAGTAACTTCAATACAAGTTACGCCTCAACGTTCGTTATTGTTATTATCTGAATCTTCACTTATTTTCCTTTGAATCGTGCTATTAAATTGCCTACCTATATGCTATATTTAACATGTCACCAATAAATGTTCAATAGATTTGCGATGAACACAACGTCCAATTCACCTTATAAAGCTTTATTCAGCTTTCATTTAGTACTACGTAGCGGAAGACTTTTTCATCTCTAATAGTTGATGGAGTTTTTACTTTTGGTGGTTTCTCATTTGCTTCATCACTAATTCATTTTGATTTATAATTTTATTTGTGCCGACAGGTGTTACGATTTTGTTATCGTTAACAGTTTTTCTCAACCTGGTAGCTGAAAAGATGCCAACAACATCGGATGCGATTCCTCTTATAGGTATTTTATAAGTAAACAGCAAGGAATATGCACGTGGTAACTTTAGTTTCTTAGGATTCCACAAGGATGCGATCTTGGAACATTTTGTTGATGTCTAATTTTTTAAGTGTCGTTTTTATTGTGATATAAGGGTTTTTTTTAAGAAAATTATTTTCCATGTCAAAAAGCATTGTGCACTGCAAATCAGAAAGCTAGATTTTTTTCTAGATTTTGTTTTCACTGTTCCCATCTTTGTTAGTGCATACCTGTCCTCCCTAGATATTTATAGAAAGCATTGGTAAGTGACTTTGGGCATAGATTTACATTAGAGGTCATTGTTAGATGAAATGACAACATATTGCGTTCCCAAAAAAACAAAAAGGCAGTTTACACGGAGAGTTGTATTAGTTGAAATGCGAAGTGGGTCATGAGCATCCTGTAGGGTTAACACTGTGTTTGATTTCAGGAGTCACTATTCTACTCTCGCTGACGGTGTTCCTCAACTTGGTAGCAGAGACCCTGCCGCAGGTCTCCGACGCCATTCCCCTGTTAGGTACACTGCCCACACCTGACCATCGTCCGATCCCACTATATCCAATTTGTTTTATGTTTTATCACTTCATTTTATGTCACCTTTGTTTATTTTCATTCTATCTGATGATTTTTTTTATTTTTTTAATTCTATATTTTAAAACATTACAAGGAGTAAATTAAGTATATTAACAACTCTTTGAACTAAATGATTTAATTAAATATTTAAACACCTAAAAATAACACATAACTAACACTATGTTCGTGCTTATAGTAACGCTTTATTTTAAGTAATGCGATTCCACATACTTTCTCTATATTTCTTTTTACATCTGGTCATTTAACACTGGAATCGATATCGTGTTGTACATATACGTGTATCTCTCTCATATAATACAGAGCTGCGAACATTAGCGTCTATTAACTATTTCGTAAAAACATAAATATGCTGATTGTAAATTAAAATATTTTTAATTATTTTCAATATAACCAAAGTTAAAATATGAAGCATGGCATGAATTTCAAATATTCGGATTCAGTAATGCTTGACAATTATTATGGAATCGCAAAGGTAAGTCCTTGAATTTTACAGCACTTTAAATGTTTCACAATCTATTTCTTCTAATTATTCAAACACCATAGAACACGGAATCGATTCCATGGTGCAATATATGTGTTATTTTTAATTTGAGTGTTAATGCTTTGTTATATATTTCTAAGCCTTATTTATTGTTAATCTATCGCGAGATGTCCTAGATACTTGGAGGGTGGGTGGTGTAATATTAAAATTCTTTCTAAAATTTCTTTTATTGTGCATAAGTAATCAATTAATAACAATGATTCATTAAAATCTATAAAACTAGAGTTTGCATGATGTTTTGTTTTGTTTATGTTTTCTCTTGAGCCCCCGTTACCAACTCAGCACACAAACAGGAAACGTCTTTGTCCAGAGTTGCGCTGTCATGCGGACGCAAAATTTGAGCTAAAGGTTATAAGATTGGTTAGAACACTTTGTTTTTCATAGAATGTAATATTGGTGTTTGCAGGTGTAACAATTCTCCTGTCGCAAACTGTTTTCTCTCTATTGGTGGGACACGTCATCACTAAAACCTCAGAGGCGATCCCCCTAATAGGTGAGAAAGACGCGTTTACAGCAAAAGTGTCTAGAACTAAACAAATTTCAATAAATAATTGTGAATAGCCTGTTCTAAAGCAAAATGAGTGAATGGCTAGCGAGGGATATTATTTATGTTCGAAAATGTTATGAATAAAAAATATAAAACTAAACAATATTCCTCTGGTCATTTATTAAATCTTATTTAAAATGAAATATTAAATAGAATGCAATTATCGCTTGAATGATTTAAATTCGAAGGACAGCATAGTTTTATTTTCAAATTTTGAAATGCAAATTCGTCTTGGGAATTCCTGTGCTTCGGCATATCTTCACGCTCTGTCGACACATGACATAGACGTATTGCACTCTAAGCGCTATTAAATTGCTCTGAATACTAAATCTTTTAAAAGTACTCTTGATTAACATTTGATATTATTCTTGTAATGTGTTAAAATAAATTATTTCTTTTCTGCCTTCAGCCAGCTCTGTCCCTCCAAACTTACAACTGTACCACTGTTTTTTCTCATTCATATGTCAAGTGCGCTCCTTTTTAAAATATCTACTATATTTGTGACTACTGACGTCATTAAGCATGTTAAATAGGATAAAGTAAAACAACAAATTAAACATTAAGTAAACGCACAACTCTCCTAGTTTGAAATTTGTTAATATAATGCTACATAGGACTGGTTTCGCTTGTAGTTGTCTAAAAGGATGTGTTAAAGTTAAACAGCGATTATAATCAACAAAGTGGATGCGGGTAGGGAGGGTCCAGTCTCCAAGTATCTCGCGAACATCGGCTCTAGCTACTTTGCCTGGTCTGTCTATTATCCTATAATGTTTTAGTACAAAATCTTACTTAACATTAACTTTGTCAAAGGAACGATCTGCGGATTAAGAAACTAATGGATTAGTAAATATTTTATTAATATCGTTCCTTTTTCAATTGTGGAGTTATCTCATACAACTGCATATCTTTATGGTGCTTTTTTTAAGTTATTATCAATAATCAATATTTCGAAGTTATTTCAAGTTGTAAGAGATAGTATTTTTAATAGATAAGTAACTCTTGGATGTGATATTAACTTTATGATTTAGCATTTCATAAAAATATTAATACGATGATTATACTTTGACGTGTTTATGTGTATTTTTTACTACTTAAACTATTTACCTCAAAACAATTATAAATAAAACATAATACGTCAAATTATAATTTAAGTATAAAAAATAAAAATGGCATGTTTAAAATGAAATGCATGAATGCTTTTGATGTTGTCTTAAAGTAGTGTATTAAAATATTAATAAAATCCAAATTAAAAATGTACCTAATTTCCTCCTTATTGAATTTACTTTTCATAATTTTAATCATTTTTGATACTTGATTTAAAAAAAATCAATTTGAAATACTTAGCACTATTGTGTTTTACTATTGAGGTATTTTAGTTTTTAGCCGTTGTTTTATTGATGTTAAGTTCAGTAGGACATTTGTACAGCAAAATATTTGTGGTGCGCAGGAACATACTTCAATTGCATCATGTTCATGGTGGCATCATCAGTGGTACTGACTGTGGTCGTACTGAATTACCATCATAGGACAGCGGATATACACGAGATGCCTCAATGGGTAAGGAATATTAAAATACAGTAGTGTTCCATTACATTTCAATAACCCAATAACAAAAAAAAACAATTATCTACAACTAACATTGGAATATTATTTTTTTTTTCAAATGCATGATCGATGTGGCCTTTTTATTGTCATATTTGTGTTCGAAACAATCATACCAATTTTCAGGTCTACGCGAAAAATTGCAGCTTCACAATTTCGATTAATTTGACTACGTAATTATTATTCCAGAAGTTTTTGCTAATAATTTAAGCTTACACAATCCGACAGATAAAGACTGTATTCCTGCAATGGTTGCCGTGGATATTGAGGATGTCAAGGCCGGGTAAGAAGATAACTCGGAAGACGATAATGATGACGAACAGGATGAGGGAGCTGGAGCTGAAGGAGCGGTCTTCAAAGTCGCTGCTGGCGAATGTTCTGGACATCGACGACGACTTTAGACACGCGCCGCCGCCTCCCAACAGCACCGCGTCCACGGGCAACTTGGGGCCAGGGTAAAATTAATCACCTCATTCTTGTTTCCTCATGCATTTGTTTATAATTTGGGTTATAAAAATCGTACTGATTTAATAAAAGATAACATTTTGTGGTAATTAAATTCAAGTCACACGACGCTATTAGTTTTGTGTGTGTTATAAAAATTGACATATCTTTAGCGATAGCTTAGTATTTATAAAATAGCCCAACAAAATATTACCTTTATGTATTACTAGAGGAGAATACTTTTTGTCTTTTTAAACATGATACATTTCAAAACACGTACACAATAAAAACTAGATAAGCTCTCTCGACGTACAAAGGGAAATAAAGTTAGCAAAGTTAAAATCGATATAACTAGTAACTGGCTTTGTTAATCCAGGTGTTCGATATTCCGCACGGACTTCCGGCGGTCGTTCGTGCGTCCGTCTACCATGGAAGACGTGGGTGGGCTGGGCAGCCACCACCGCGAGCTGCACCTCATCCTCAGGGAGCTGCAGTTCATCACCGCGAGGATGAAGAAAGCTGATGAAGAAGCTGAACTTATTAGTGATTGGAAATTCGCCGCGATGGTTGTTGATAGGTAATTTATTTGTTAAGATACAGTAGGTTTACATAAAAAAATAACTACCTAGTCTTTACGTTGAATCATTAAATATAAAATTAGCTTTTTTAATCAATAACAAAATTTAACGTAGGTCTATATCTGTGATTGTCACATTGTCAAAGTAAGGACAGGCAACTTTCAATTCGTTTATTAGAGCTTTATGATAAAATTAGATTGATCCAATACTCCCATCGATATGGTTATTTCGGAACTCACGTGTTAAAATTTAATTCTATTAATACATATATTTGTCTCCAGGTTTTGCCTGTTTGTGTTTACTCTATTCACAATCATCGCGACAGTCGCCGTGCTGCTCTCTGCGCCGCATATTATAGTGCAATGAAGCAAATCGGCCAAATTCAAGTACGAGAGAAATAATTTAACTGTAATTATAATTATTTATATATACTATTATCTTATAACGTGGTTCAAACGCACACGTCATTAACTCTTGTCTAAAGACGATAGATATAAGTGAATTGTAATCGTTTACATAGTTAAGTACAACATAATTATTTAAAAACAAATGTGATGTTGACTAGAAAATGTTATACAGATAAATGTTGACATTTATAATTTGTTAATAATTATAATAATATTAAATGTGTAATTAAAATATGTTTCATTAAACTGCTGGAAGGTAATGTTGATTTGGATTGAATTTTCAAAGACTATAAAATACAGAATAAAAAATTAATTAATAATTTAAACATAGATAAATACACGTAAATTTATTTCTACTTTTATTATTTTGTTATATTAGTTATCATAAAGTCACTATGAAGTTTTAAACTGTTTACTTTTACAATGAATATGTGTTTTTTTTTAAATCGGGGATCACTAACGATTGACATTACCTTAGGGTATTAACTGTATATAATTACTATAGTAAATATCTCTCAAAGTACATTTCAATATTCATTTTAATTAATCGAGGATTATTGTTTATGTTTCATTGAAAAACAATTAAAACTTTACTTAAGGCCGGGAATTGTTTATATTTTATGGAATTGATACAAAATCAACAATTAAAAGGAACCAAATTAAATATAGATAAATAAAATATAGAGAAACATTTAAATATATCAATAAATGTATGGAATGGATAAAATATAATACATTCATATAATTCATTCAGTATGTCATATATTTATGATATATATAATAAATAATACCATATACTATATAATTAGACTAAGGGAATCTGTTATATTTCTTATGAATTAACGGAAACATAAATATATCATTATTAACTAGTATCCATTTGTGGTATACATTCTAGAGTAGTAACGAATACGCGATTTTAGTCTTTAAAGTTAGTTGAATGAAAATTAAATAAAAACGAAAAAAGTACAGCGTTTCAAAATAATTCTTTTACAAAATTCATATACCAATTTGGCAAATTTCTCATCTTTGTTTTATTGATATCCCGCTTTCTATAAAATACTCTTTTAGAGTTGCACATGTTGGAGTTAATTCTCAGATCCATTAGCAATAAGGAAATATTGCTTCAAGTTCCCAGTTCGACGTGATGTAACGACTTGGGTAGTTACCCTTTAGCACTTATGTAGTTCTAGATACTATATCTTAAAGTTACCTTTAAAGAGTTCATATTTCTCACATCTTTGTCTATGTCCATTCCTCAACTTCGCTCTTAGGTGTCGTGTTAGACTAGTGAATGTCGTGTCCTTAAATTATAGTCTATGGAAAATTAATAAATTAAATAGTGTAAGTGGTACGGAGGCTCACCAATAATAGTTATAAAAATAGGATTATTATCTCGATGTGTTCTCTCGGATGCAAAACGATTTATCATTTTCGAAAATCGATTTTGTCTTGTTTCGATTCGACTGTGCGTTTGCCAATGTTTAATAAATGTTAAATAAGTTTTTGTGATTTGATTTGATTTAGGAATACGTATATGTTTGTTTAAAGAGACTTTTGTTAGACAGATATAGGATTTTCTTGACTCCTAGTTGCTGGAATAACATTTTGTTTTGTTCATTTCGTTATTACTGATGGGCATATATAAAATTTTACTTTATTTACTCAGAAGTGGTTATTTAAATGACATTTGTCAAATCAATTGAAATGTTTTAATTAGATTTGTTAGTGCCAAAAAATAGTATTTATAAAATAAAGTGTTACGTTTTATTTTTAGGGTTATAAATAGAGGATAAAGTTAAGAATTTTATTGTAAAATAAAAATAAAAAAAACGAACTAGATTCTTTGTTAATAACTTGAATGAACGGAACATTGTACCGTAACTATCAGGGCTAATCAGCCAATTAAATAAAAAAAAACTATTTTAATTAAAGTAAAAATAAAAATATATAAATGAGAGGTTGTGAAACAATTTAGGAAGCCGCGAGTTTCGGTGCAATGTTAAATAAATTATACAAATAAAATTGTAGAAAATATCTACGTTAAAATGAAAACAATTTTAAAATAAATGCCTGCCCGGGACCGGGTTAGTATAAACTGTACAAATATAACAGAATCGTATGTTATTTTTTTTTCGCTGCGTTATATTTTTACGGGCAATTTTCTAAATTATTTCAGTTTTTTTTTGGTTGCACGAAATTTTTAAAACATCCATTTCACAAAATAAACGCGACAAAAATCTAACAAAATTTCTTTTGTACACTTTTCGTTACACGGAAAAGCTTTTGCTTTGGATAAATCTAGTATTTTGTCACTTATACATCGGCCATTTTAATTTTCGTACTAATAGATATCAATTTAAATTTTAACACTTTTTATTATTTATTGCAGTTAACGTTAAAGTTATCTTTAAGAAATACGTAAACTATCATAACATTTACTGCCGATAACGCACTGATGATAAATATGCAACAAAATAAGTAATTAGTATATTGTTCTGCTGTTTACAAAAAACAAAATAATCAGAGTCAAAAATTAATCTTGGTTACTACAAATAAAGCAAAACGAAATACCTTGACAGCAAACTAATAAAAGATTACACATTTTTTTTATATAACCAGCTTTCTATTCACAATTTTATCTCTACAAACACTTTAAACTCTACTCAAATTAACATCACTTTCAAATATATTTTATGTCCATAAATTGTAAATCATAAAAATGTTTGTATGGTATTTATTGGTTTTAAGTTATTATTAAGTTAAATTACTGACAGTTAAAATAATTATTAAGTGATTTACTTAATCATTTTATTCTTTATATCTCAAATTAAACCCTTGTATTAAATCGATTCGTAATTTTCATGAAGTAATTAAGCGGTCCCTTATCGTACTTGTACCTTCCTTACTCAGTGACTATCGAACCTTGAGTGTCAGTTTGTAAAAATGTTAACCTTAATTTCATATAACCATACAAGCATTAACCAAACACTGCACAACCGTAATGAAATGCTTTAATTAAGAAACAGGTATTTTGGACTGTCGTGTACATTCTTAACTCTATCTTTATATTTCAAGAACCTTTTAAATTGAAAGTTTTAACCACGGTACCCACATTTTAAAGTATTTAAGAATTCATATATTATATTACGTTTTAAATCGAGGCAATATATTGGAACAAGCATTTTAATTACGAAGTTAACAAGCTGACTCTTATCTTTAAAATCTAAAAACACATGTTTATAGCCCGTTTATTAATTAATTTATTACATATTATTCTTATTATATTTAAAAGTAACTATGATAATTTTATACTTATTGATTAGAAAGATATTCAAATATGTGTGTAAATTATCGAGAGAAAAGGATTGGCGGCGTCTCGACACCCGTCACGTTCCGTCTCCCGCAAGGGCGAAAAGTGGATTGCGGAGGTCGCTGGTCTCTGCCTACCCCTCTGCGTTACAGACCTGAATTGTGTTGTATCTTATGACGGTTGCAAAAAGTACCGAATTCAAAAATTTAATAGCTATTTTATTTTTATAGACTATGCAGGCAGTTCCAATATATTTGCCTCTATTGTTAAATTACTTTTTACTACTTCTATTACTCATATAACTACTATTTATAATATATTACAATTATTCTTATTACTTATTGAATTACACACAATTCACACACACAAAATATATTCACACAACCACACTCATACATCCAATCTTTTCATTTAAAAGATCTTTACAATTACGTTGATTATACAGTATTTATGTAATACATAAGATTATTTATATATTAAATAAATATGCAAGATATATGCTTGTTTACGCATGCATGTGGATTTAATTTACACATTAAATAAATTATTTTATAGCTGATATATGCCATTTTGTATAGCACATTAATTATTTTTATAACTGTCACATAAATGTACTCCATATTGTGTTCCTGTGGCTTAATCATAGTCAGAATTATTGTAATAATCATTAAAATGTACGACTGCAATTAAGCTGATTAAAATACAACCGATTATATAATGTAAGTTTATAATAAAGAAAGCCCCTATGGAGGTTTTATATAATAGTGAACGTTTTAAATGATATAAAAATAAATTTGTAAAAAAAAAGAATAATAAACTGGACGGGTAAATACGTTTACTCGTAAAATTGACTATCGTAAGTAGTATTCGATTTGTATAAAAATAAAAATAAAGCAATCTGATTTATACTAAATATGGTTGTTTTACTTGTTACCTTGTTATATTATGTAACTAAAATTATAAATGCAAATATTTAGATCTCCTATTATGAGAATGTACGGCTGAACAGATCTCGATAAAATTTGGTATACATATAAAACATAGTCTGGAATAACTTCATATCAAACACATGCTACTAATTATGTTTCTATAAAATTCCGCGCGGACGGAGTCACTGGCAACACCTAGTTTTATATAAACAAGAATTAAATCTGGGGTTAAGTAAGTTAGCTTTGATTTTAAACAAAAGACTACTTCAAAGACGAAATATAATCAAAAAAGTTTGGAATATATCAACTATACTAATGTCTAAATTAATCAGGCATGAAACAAGGCATATTTATTTACAATATAACCTGTTTGGTAAGTACTTTTTTAAATAATATACAGTTGGTATTACAATTTTAGAGATAATAGATAATATGACTGGCTCTAAGCTTAGCTCGGCGCGTTTATTGAAAAGTTTGAAATTACTACATAATGTGACCGTGCAAAGGAATTTCATTATTAATTTCAGAACGCCATGTGTCACTTTTATGTCCTTACAGTATACTGTCCTGTAATATTCGTAATAAAAAAGCTAGAATATGTGTTATGAAAGAATTGGGCTTATAATAATTAATATATCTTTTTTGCATTAAAAACCTTCATTATTAAAGAAAATTAATATGATTATTTGAATCCCATATCATATCATGAGATATGTAAGTTTTCTTACATTATTATCGTGGGTTTCTGAGAATAAAATCCCTATTTTAGATTATATATTATGTTTTATTTGTTTCATCAAAATTGACGGCGATGTCGATATGTTTTATACAGAGAATTTGGTCTCAGAAACCCACGGTTAGCACTATAATTGTGGTC